TAGGAGGGACAGAAGGAAGGAAGGAAAGAAGAAGAGAGGAGGGAGGAAGAATAGGAGGGACAGAAGGAAGGAAGGAAGGAAAGAAGGAAGGAAGGAAGGAACACATGGGACGAAGGAAGAGAGGCAGGGAGGGAGACAGCCAGCCAGAGCTCCGATGTGTGTGTTCTCTTGTACTCTCCCCTGCATTCACAGCCACTGTGGTATATAAGCTCCTTGAGGACAGGCCCTGACTGCCTCCCCATGGAGCATCCCCAGCACCTACCACAGAATCTGGTACACTTGACAAATATTTGTTGAATCTAATCAGATGTGGCCACTGATGAAGATAATTCAATGTTAGGCTGTAGTACCTGGGCCTGGATACATGAGGGATCCCCCTGCCCGCTGCCTGGTCAGAACCAGCTGGACCACTGTGGTCAGTTCTGGGTGGGGCATTTCAGGAAGGGCACTGGTGATCTAGAGGATGCCCAGGGAAAGGCCACTGAGTAGGGAAGGCCCTTGCGTTCATGCCCCTGACTCAATCAGCTGAAGAAACTGGAATGTTTAGTTTGGAGAAGAGAAGCCTGGGGATGGGGGTGGGGGTGGGAACTGTCATCAGGAGGATGAAGGACCGTCATGTAGGGGGTCGAAGGACCTCCTGGGGGAAGACAGGACCAGAGCATTGAGAAGAAGGTGCTAAGAAGCAGCTTTGGACCTGGTGTTAAGAGAATGATTCTAAATGAAAGCATCGCAGCATGGAAGGGGCTGCCTTGAGAGGTCTCTGAGCACAGACAGAGCTTGGCCAATGTGTTGGAAGTGGCTGATACCAAAGGGAGGGTCTGGAGGATGCTGCCTGTGTGAGCTGTCCTCTAGCCCCCAGGCCGCCTCACCGACAATCCTGGGCAGGACCTGCTGCTGCTCCACTCTTTCTGCAGCTGCCCACCATCCTCTCCTTTGGCGCCCTGTCCCCCTCCAGCCCCATGAGGACCTAAGGGCCATTCAGTCCCTCTGGAGCCCAGTCCAGGGCCTGAGACAGGATAGAGAGGCTAAGGAAGGGAAGAAGGGTTTACTGGGCACCAGGCACTGTGCTAAGTGTCTTACAAATATTATCTCATTTGTAAATAGAGCCCCCACTACTACCACAAGCTTGCCAGCCCACCCCCAAAGGCCTTCTGAGGGTGCCTCCCAATCCCTTCTTCCAAAGGGTGTCCAGAGAAGAAGTGGCCAAGCCTTAGCCATGTCAGTGTGCCTGGGGGCTCGGGAGGGTGGCTCCTGCCTCCCCCTTCCCCCTGCCCTGCTAGGCCCTGGCATTACTGGCACCCACTGGCTCTGGGGACTGGCACCCTCCAAACAGGACACTGCATGACAATTAGAAATCTCAGGCCTGCAATGCAGCATTAGTTAAAAAAACACACCCCCCCAACCCCCAGCCAGCCAACCAAGGGAGGGAGGGAGCCGGCTGAAAATGCTTCTCTGCACTATCCTGGAGAATGTGGAGCCTGAGAGCCGGTATTTGGGTCAGCTGCATCCTCAAGCATCATTTCTGCCTCCTCTCCTTTTCTCCAACAACTCACTTTCCAGTGCACTCACAGCAGAGGCAGGGGCCAGGTAGTCTGAGAGCTGGCAGAGCTCTGGCCAATGCTGGCCTTCAAGGCCGGGATCCAGGCTCTAGTCCTAGGGCTGGGATTTCACCTCCTCCTGATCCACTCAGTCCAAGAGGGAGAGAGGCAGACAACTGTGCTCAGCTGCCTGGTGCTCACACCCAGAGAGGGGGGACTAAGCACATTCTGCAGAAGGCGGGGCTTCTCCTGCCCCAGCCCCTGCCTGGCCTGTTGCTCCCCTGCTGGTGGCCAGCTGCCCCCTTCCTCTCACCCTAAAGCTGCTCTGGGCCCTGCAAAGACACCCAAAGATCCAAGAACTCA